TTTTTTTTTAATTTGAGTTATTTTTAGCTTTAATATTCTTTAACAAACCCCATATAAATCCAAGATTAAAACTTTGTGCAATATTCAAAAAAAAACCATTCAACAAACTTTCGTAAAAATTTCTAGCATTTTATTTAGATTTTCTAGAAAGATTTTTGAAGGTTTTGTAGCTCACTCAATTCTAATATAATGAAGTGCATGTTTTAAGTGGCTAGAAAGGTTTGTTTTAGAATTGCCCACAAAAACTTCCCCACGAGTTGGCTTCCCTGGTATACATATACGCTATCCTTGAAAAGGCAGCGAAAGCTTCATTCAACTGCACGACTTGTTCCCACGCACACAGTGACATCGATTGCATGCACACTACAAAAATGCTCTGCCGAGGCTGCCCACCTCTGATCTAAATACATTTCTGCACCAAAAAGAATATATGGCAAAAATGTCGCTTAAAGCTTTTTGGCGGTTAGACTGGGTTCACACAGAGAAATCTTTGTTGCTCATTTTCGGCAATTTCTCTTTTGGTGTTGCTCTTCGGTTTCACACAGAGCAATTCTTTTGTACATAATTGTTGTTGTCAGCTGTGAACGGCCAACTAAATTACTCAGACGAACGAGAGCACAAAGCGTGTTGCCCGAGCACTAGCAACTCGGTGCCCTTCCCCCTTCCTCGTCACTCCCTCCCCCACAAGTAAGGAGTTGCCGCAACAAAAGTTTCTCTGTCTGAACCTAGACTTAGGGCTCGATATATGTATCTCGGTAACTGGTCTATTAATTTCTACCAAACTCAGTACAGTTATTAACCTTGCCGCAGAAAAGGAATATGTTGATATTTTTTTTTAAATCGGACTAAAATTACGCCCACTTACGGTATATTTCAGAAATACGAAAACTCCGACATTCCAATAACTATTGACGCCAATTTACTCCAAGTTATAGCAATATCTTAACAAGAAACAAGATTCTAGATTTTGGGAAAATGGGCGTGGTACCACCCACCTATGCCTACATAAGTGTATATCGATAATCGCTTTATAATATATCAAAGCATATTATCGAAACTATTGAGAAAAACTCTTGCTTATCATGCATTTTGTTGAAGGGTGAAAAACGATATTTAATACTTGCGGCGGGTATGTAAAGTTCGGTTTCGCCCGAATTTATACTTCTTTAGTTGTTTTGGTACTGAACTACTTAAAATCTTCTTCATTCTTCTTAATTGGCGCTGTAACCTCCTAAGCGACTTTGGCCGAGTCCAAAACAGCACGCCAGTCATTTCTCTTCTGTGCTAACTGACGCCAATTGAAAATGCCAAGTGAAGCCAAGTCCTTCTCCACCTGGTCTTTCCAACGCAGAGGAGGCCTTCCTCTTCCTCTGTTACCAGCAGGAGCGTTTCTGTCCATCCGAAAGACATGGCCAAGCCAGCGGAGCCGCTGAATTTTAAAATAGTAAGTACAAAAAAATTTGGGTTAGGCCACTTCTACTCTCACAGCGTACCCTGCAAAAATCGCGACTACTCCATGCATGCGTGTAAAGAGTACTCCCTAAGGACCAAGGAGTACTCCAAAATTAACCACAATTCATATAAAAAATATGGTCCAATTAACATTGCGATGTCCTAGGGCAGGACCATATACTCCATCCCCGCATTACATCAGAGTAGCACAAAACTACTCCAACATAATAACAATGGCATTGTTGCTATATTTTTTCGTTTGTACACGCTTTCGTTTTTCACTTCTCAAATACTTTTTCGAAATTAATAAAAACCAAGACAAAAATTAAAAATTACATGTTGCCTCTGACGGTATTCGAACCCGAACATGCTGGGAGCTAAGAACGAACAGCGAGCATCTCTACACGCTCAGCTACAGCCAGACATGCAAATGTGCTTTCAAATGCTCAACTTCAATCACGTTTCGTTAAAGCACGAGCAGTGATCGGATAACAAACAATGAGCATGATTCAACAACTACAGGTTGTAGCAATCGTACAAAAACAACATTTACCGTTGGTATGAACTCCTTGTGTCATCAACATCTTCTTTATCTATTCATATTCGTGTGTATATGTATACCCTGCATACCAAGATTTCATAGAATTCTGAAAGGTTTCACAATTTTTTTAAGAATTTTCTTTAAGAAATCATACAGATATTTCTTTACTAGTTCTTGTCAACCGCTTCATATGTTTTTCTTTACAGATTTCTAAAAGAATCGTAACAAATTTCCGACACTCTTAAAGATTTCGGGAGCATTTGTTTGCAGGGTATATATATACGTATATGTGTATGTGTAAGCGAATATGTAAATAAAGCAAAACAGACGATAATTTGACACAAGCGTGCTCATAAGAAGAAGCATAGCTTCTATCGCTATCACCTGTAATTGATGCGCCTTGACAATGAGCTAGCGCAGAGACACCAGTTGGTCCGCTACAGCATGACAGAGGACCACTTTTGTAAGTACTCCAATTTACCACAAATAGACTACATGATCCAACGATTTTGCAGGGTTGTCAAGCGCTAGTCAGACCTTATCCCTCCAGCCGTGTCTCACGAATCCATTAAATTTAATTTCCGTCATAGTCTTTTATAACGTTTTTCATATTCCCGGTTCCACTTTTATCATTCAATTTTTAAATAATACAAGTTAAAATCTAAACTAGACACAAAAAGTCGCAATTTTATTATTTTTTATTCAAATAGTTAATTACCAAAAAATGTCAAATCAACCCTGCAAATGTAACCACTCTGCAATTAGAACTGTCAGTTTGACATTTCAGTACTGCCAATATGACGTCAAACGAAGAAGCATGTCTTCCTTTCTCAAAAAGTCGTGCCTGTGCTAAAGACGTGTTTGAATACTTTTTAAGTGTTTTAACAGGTAATTTTTGCAAAATGTCCCAAGTAATTCTTTTAAAAAGTGTCTGGCGTAACTGCTGCACAAGGAAACAGTGAATTTGTAACTGAAATATTCCACTTCGTCGTTGGAGCACACGTGGATATATGATTCCTCCGTTGTATGCTAATGTCAAATCGGGCTTTTGTGAGGTTATGTTGCCGATGTAGAGCATTGGACGCCGGACACAATTTTATTTACTCAAACACTTTTCACTTTCCTATAATTGTTATACCTTTATTTACAGAACAGCTGCAAAATGTCCGGTACAACCGCCAC